GCTGGCCGCAGCCGCTGGCCCGGGGGCCGGCGCTTCCTGCTGGGATGAGCACAGTAACTTAATGTGAAAATGGATACGCTGCTGGCTCCAGAGTGCACACAGAGAAAAGCAGAGGATTATTTTATCTGCATTTTCAACCCTCCTTTCACCTCGTCCATGTTGAGTTGTGTCTTTCCGAGAGGCCCCTCTCCGGCAGCGCCGTGCCAGTGACCCGGTGCCCTGTATAGCAGACTCTGGGGAAATGGAGTTTTCATGTATCATTCTGAATAGTTGAAATGTATATTTGTACAGTCTTTTAGACCTATTCAAGTGAAGCTTATGGAACTGTTCTTGTGTACCCATCATAGATCTGTTTCTCTTTTTTTAGTGTTGCCCTGCTGTGTAATAAATGCTGTATCTAGTTTCCCTAGCAAAGCTTGAGACTGCTCTAGTATGAATTTTGACAGACTTAGTTTTTGCACATAACCTTGTACAATCTCCAACCAGAGGCCAGCAACATAAAAATATATCTGGGCTCTGTTGTATTATAGAATTTTCTTGTTCTGAATATCCTTGACATGACAACTGATGACAAACATATTTCAGAGCCATTTTCTGAAATCTTTTAAGCTAAAAAAGAAAAATCACATGCAAGAAACAAGTTTGCAGCTACTAATTTTGACACCTTTTAGATCTGTATAAAAGTGTATTGTGTTGAAGCAGCACACTGAGACAAAGTGCTGGGTTTGGATATTTAGTTTTATCTTTAGTTAACACCAACAAGGTGTTGTATTCATTTATACCATCTAATATATGACACACTGTTGTAGTATGTATAATTTTGTGATCTTTATTTCCCTTTGTATTCTTCATTTAAGCATCTAAATAAATTGCTGTATTGTGCTTAATGTAAATATTTGCTTTTATTACATGCAAGTGCTCCATTCCTGGTTGGTAAATCCCACGTCACTTCATTCTTTCTTTTTGAAAGAATTCATTCTTTCTTTTTTGCCTCTGTTTTTGCAAGTGCTCCCCAGCCCTGCTGGAGCCTCTCTGTTCAGTACTTGCTGAATACTTCTCTCCTTCCAGGTTACTGAGAATCTGCAGAGTGACTTGGGCTGAAGGTGTTGTTCCTGTTCAGTGCTGTAGAACACAGTTATAAATAGCATTGTACTGGTGTGTTTGTTCTGCATCCTGGGGAAGGGAGGTCTGTGAATTCCTCCATGAACGGAGATTTGCTCTCAGCAAATCCTTCCCTGCCTGCACAGAGAGCTGGGCCTGGGGGCCAGGAGGGCTTTGGGACTCTGCCCCTTCCCCAGCGAGTAGCACAGGCCTGGGCCAGCCTGGAAGGTAAAGAAAAGTGATCACCTGAAAAACTGAGTTTGTTCAAAGCTGTGCTTGGTTTGGCCAGGCCAGGCCTGCAGTGTGGCCCCTGTGCAGGGAATTCACTCTGCTGTGATGATATAAACTGTTCCTCAGTGCAGTGGGGAAGTGCAGCAGCCTTTATCTGTTTAGCAAAGGCATGAACAATTTGGTATCCTTCTATCAATGTGCCACGTTTGTCTCAGTACCTGACAAGGCAACATTAGCAAACTCTAGTTAAAAATCAGATTTCAGTGTTCTGAACTCCTGCTGTAGTCAGTGAAGAATAAGACTGAAATAAGTAAGACTCTTTAGGAGTTTCCAGGAAATACCATTTTATACAATGATTAAATGAAAGGTCTTGCCCACAGCCATTCTCTTACCAGGATACCAGGGTTGGAGGTGGTTATTTTAAGTCCTGGCTTATATTTTCTAATACTTCAAACCAGTCACCCTTCAAATCTGGCTTTGAGGCTGGTTACGGATTCCTCTCCAGATTTGAGGCTAACCACACTTTTGAGGAAGTTGGAAAGAGGAAGAAAATAGCCCAATAAAAGTGGAAGAACCTTAATGCAGTGTGTGTAATTTAGGATATGATATGTGAGCAGGATGGGCTGGAAGCATTTCCCAGCCCCTGGAGCCGCTCCTGCCCTGCCACGGTGCTCACGGGGAGCGGCTCCAGCTGACCCTCACCCTCTGCTGGGTCCTGGGGCTTTCTCCGGGAGCCTCACAGGGTTTGGGGAGCTTCCCAAGGCTTTGGGAGCAGCAGCTCTCTGCTCCAGACTTTGTTTGAGCCCTGTTTCAGTTCCTGGACTGAAGGTGAGTGTTTTGTGTCTGAGATGTTCCGCGGTGCAGCTGCAGCAGCCGGGGCTCGGTGCCGGCAGCACAGACCAGCTGAGCTGTGCCTGTCACCTGCAGGGACAGCCCTGAGGACACCCTGGGGATACCCTGGGAACACCCTGGGGATGCCCTGGGGACACCCTGGGGATACCCTGGGGACACCCTGGCCTTGGTGCCATGGCTGCAGGGTCAGGCAGAGCTGTGATGTTGAAGCCCTGGTCAGCACAGGCTGTGCTGAGGTTCCACACGGGCGCTTTCCTGGCTTTTCCTGCTGCTGGCAGTGGCTCCTTCCCACAGACAGCTTTGTGAACACAGCTCTGTGCTGTAAATCTCCCCAAAGCACCGTTCCTGGTGTACAGGTGTGCAGTGAAGGTTCATGGCACGAGCTCCCGCTCGCTGAAATCAGCTCCAGTGCCATCTGCTGCTGCTGTCCCCCTGTCCCGCAGTGCCAGCTCCCTACCAGCGGCTCAGCTGTCACTACTGGACCCTTTGACACGTGTTCTCACTCAGGCAAACCTGAATATTCACCCAGTGTTTTTATAGGAAAATTCTGTCGTTCTTGCCACTAAGAATTTAGCAGGTTTCAAATGCTCACTGGTACAGTTACAGGAGTTTCCCGTTGTGTAGAACACACATTGCACACACAGCTGTGCTAAGAAAATTCATTTCCATCTTAGTCAGAACCAAAAGATTTCAGGAATATGTCACATGCTTTGTCTCTCCGGTTTTGTTAATAAAGAAGCTGATATTTGCATAAGCAGGTTGGTTAAACGAGGAGTATTTTGTTCCTTTTAGAACTGATTTGTCTCTGTAACCCCAGCTCATTTGTGATGATCCATTACAAGAACCTGCATTGCAGGGGCAGAGGCAGCCACTCACTCTTGTCTCTATTCCTTTATATTTTAATTTGACTTTATCTTTCATCATCAGTCCCACTAATAAATATGAAAAGGTTGTGTTCATTTATTTCTGCATCAGAAGAGCTTTGGTCTCCATGGTTACAGCCATGCAGCTTTACTTTCACCATAAGATTGGCTTTTTTTTCCCTTTACAGACTTTGCAGTGGGTTCTCCATCTTGAGCAGGCATTTTTAAAATAAGCATTTTTTTCCATTTCTCCATATTGTACTTGATGCAAAGCCAATCATCTAAAAGGTAAATGCCCTCCTCTGTTCCCTCTTAAGAGAATTAAAGGAGCTTTGTTTTCCTGGGCCTATTTTGAAGTAAAACCTTAAAAACGCTACAGGTGCAGGGATGTGCTGGTGGTCCTGCCTAAACCACACCTACTCTGCAAAATGGCACATCCAGAGGTCCAGAACAGCTGCACAGAAAGTTTAATTCTATCATTCAGCTTCTATCACACAGCAGCTTGTAAAGCACTGCTCCTGGTACAGGGAGTGTGCTGGAGGCTTCAGCCACGTGTTGTTTGTGGCATTTTAAAATTCTGCCATTGACTTCATATTCTCTTGCAAAACCTGAGTGTGTGTGGGGCTGGCAGTGTTGGCACAGGACTGGCAAGTTTAGACAGCCTGCACTAGAGCACTCTTCAACCCCCTGATCATTTCAAATATAAAATATAAAAGCTTTTAGACATTGTCTTCACTGATTTTTGGAAGCTCAACCAAGTGCAGACTCCTGGGATCAAATTTTGGAATAAATCTTCCCTCTCCACAGAGTTACAACAGGGTCAGAAATTGTGCTTCCCCTTAGAGCTGAGATGGAACAGTCAGGATGTCCTCAAGTAATGAACCATTAAGAACAAACTCAGGCAGCTTTCCTCGAAACCTCTTGGTTATCAAGAATTACTTGCTTTGATTTTTGGTACCTACACAGTTCCCAGGGAGAAAGTCTTCAGCTGGGGATGGCAGGGGGTGTCTGAAACAGAAACAGGGCAGAAATTCAGCTTCTTCCTCAAGAACAGGAAATAATACTTGAGGGAATTGTCTGCTAAAAGAGACAAGGGGGTGGAATCATCATATCAGAGCTGAAGTTGCTCTCCAATAATAATAATTGACTTTGTAAGCAGTGCTGAAAATGTGAAGTTGTTTACTCTCACACCTGATTCTACAGACTTTGAAATCATCTTAGCTGGGTTAATATTGAACAGATAAAAATAGAGTAGAACACGGGGGAAATTAGTTTTAAAGCACAGAGAAATGCAAATGAATTATTACCACTTGAAAATACTGACTATGGAAGAAATACAGAAAGGGATTTGGGTTTGCTTCTGGGGTTTTTAAGAATTCAAATAATTGATTAATCCCAACTTGAGGAGATAAAATAATTTCTGTAGTGCAGCAATCCAAACCTCTAGCTAAAATGCCAGTCTCGATGGAAAAGAAGGAGCCTGTGTTTCCCCTGAGGCTGATGCTCCCCAGGCTCTAAACTTCACCTATTACCAGAGGCCATTTGCTATTTAGATTAAATCCTCCCATGGATTTGTGTGCAATTCTCCTCCCTCTGTTTCATCACCTCCTTCCCATGGGCACAGCTTTTAATGTAACACAAAGCCAAGTTTTTCTTCTCCAGCTCAGCCTTCAGAAGCCCTGGGTAAGAGGAGCTGAAGAATCTGAACTGATCATGGAAGTGCTGCCAGTCATGACCTGCACCCCTGTGCAACAGAAAGGACAAAAAGCCTGAAGCAAAGAAGCTGTGAGAATATCCAGCTAATAATTCCTGGTGGAATATGAACACTGTCTCCCCCAAAATCAAAGGAGAGAGAAGGAAAAGTTAAGATTATTCCAGTTTTCCA